CTGCGGCCGCTCCGGGAATTTCCGGACATTTGCTCTGACACAGTTTCCGGGTCATCAGGGTCGCGTCTATTTTCACCCCCAGTACTGGCTCGGGGGGTGAGCGAGTGCTCCTTTGCCCAAGCATGCGAAGAGTATGTCACATCTTTGTTGTTGATTAATTCCTCGTTTTCAGCCTCAGTAGTTGCTGTGGGCGCTATGGCGGTGTGGACAAAGTCTTTCAATACGACTACAAGGCCCAGCAGAATAACAACTTTTGGTCCAGCCGCCATTTTCTGTAAAGAAAAGCAAAAGATATAAACATTACAGGAGACGGTGGATATTATACGTAGTATGGTACATAATTGCTGTGCATAAATTTTGAAATACATTTTGTCAAACGGACGTTAATGTTCTTACACCCCCCCCCCCCCTTAGTTCATTTCGTATTTTCCTTACAACGACGACGAGCTGGACATTGTACCACAGACGTTAGAGATTATAGGGGCGGTCAAAACTTTGTGGCGCAACTTTTCCTCAAACATCTTTTGAACCGTTGAATTAGTATCACCCAAACTTTGTACAGCGGTTTGTACCAATTTGTCAATTGTTTCAAATGTTTTTCCACAACAATTGAGGGCAGAATAAGAAATTATTCTTCATAATTTTGTCATACATGTACTATGAATCTCCGTCATGAGGAAAATGGAATTGTTCACAGCACTTCCCTCTTCTCACACAGATTTTGCGTACGCCTATGACTTACGTCACAGCTCACCAATGACACTTTTAGTGACAAAACTAGTTACAAGAAATTAAATATAGTGAACACTTTTATGCTTTAGTGGATCTCAAAACAATCGTTCAATAAACGTTATCTCTCAGTTTTAAAAAATGACGGACTTGCTTTTAAAAGCGATATTGTCCCAGAGGTAAACCTTTTAAAATCTGTAGAAACCACCCACTGGGATTTTTTATTTATTTTTATTAAGGAATTTTTTAGAATAAAGCTAGCAGGTGTTTACCAAAAAAAATATTGATCTGTTAAGACAAATTGATATAAGTCACTGTACAAAAGCTGGAGAGTTTATTTTCGAATAGAGGAGTTATTTGACAATAAGCTGCGCCACGAATTTTTGACAGCACTATGATATTACCAAGAAGCCCAATGGTGAGGTCATTTTTCTCATTGGTCTAACCCAGTGGTTTTCAAACGTTTTTCTCCCACCGCCCCCTTTTTCACCCAGCCGAGTCCCAGCGCCCTCTACTCCGCCCCAACCATCTATCTGACATAACGACATGCATAATATAATAACAATCACAAATAAAGAGAGAGCTCAAACAGCAGAGTAGAAAGTAACGTGCCTAAATTCTAATGATTTTGTTTTGAATATTAGTTGAGTCCCAAATCGCCATCATTACAGAGTTTTAAAATAAGCGTGTATGAGAGATAATAAAACAAATTTTTCTCCAATCTTATGCAAGGGAATTGAGAGCAAAATACTGTCATTTTATGCATATAGTTGTCATCGGTACTAAACGAACAGTGTTATTAACATCAATAAAAATAAAACATGTATTATTACATTTACAGAAGTAAAACACCAAGAAAGAAAGAAAGAAATAAAAACGCCCGTAATCATTGGTTTGAAGACAGATTGACAATATCTTTATGAAACGTTTTCTCCCATCAACATGCTGCAATAAAGTTGCCTGGAATTTGAATCAAATATCTCCATTGTAGAAAATAAAAATATTATTACGTTGTTCAAATG